GTGTATGTATATTGGGCCAACAGAAGATAGAAAATCAATACAGGTTTTGTAGGTTTTTCTATTTGCTTTGGATGTGGGTCTGTTTAATGTACAGGTTATTTTCTCAAGACATGTATATTTATATTTATGTGTGGTTACATGCATAGAAACATCTTTATAACAAGTCATAAATAACAAAAAACAAAGTTGTGGAAGAATAGCTAAAAAGTGCATCCACACCAACCAGCTAATTGAGAAACTGGTCCTGGGTTCACTGAAATGAATGTGTGCTACTGGGTTCATCTACACTACATGGACTACAAGATGACTTTGAACAAAATTTCTGGAGCTAAAAGAGCCAGTGCTGTGCATTTGCATGAACCCTTGCTAAGCACTGGGTGGACCAAGCAGAGTCTAATTCACAATAAACTCTTTTCATGCTTTTAAACATTCTGATACTTTTTCAACATCCTTGCTCAGAAGCAGGGGAAAGCATTTCCCCTTGAATGTCAGTGGTGGTGTGCCTGAATGGTCTGCATGCCTGGGCTCCTCCAGCCGAGAATGTACAAATCATTCCTGAGAAAGACAGAACCCACATCTTCATATTGAGGAGTTCCAGCAGAGCAAAGAGGAATGTCACAGCACATGCCACAGTTGAGACAGCCACGATACACAGAGCATCCCCATACAGTTCCAGCGGGCTTTAAGCACTCACCCACACACAGTAACACCACATCAGAAGGCTTCAGGAGCCTGCCCATACAGAGGAACACCACACCACTTCAGAAGTCTGCAAGCATCTGTCCTCCTTGTTCTTTAGCCCAACCTTTTATCCCCCTCGTGTTCATACACTGCCCCTGTGTGCCCTCTGCTCCCTTTGGTGGTTGGTCAGTGCCCCTGGGCACTCCATGGCTCATTGCTGTCAGTGCTGCTCACCTGCTGCTCACAGCTGCACCCACTGGGTAGGAGGCTCAGCCACAGCCCCTCTCCCAGTTACCACAAACTGTGTGCCTACAGAGGAAGCCCTGTATTTTTAAATTATGCACAAAACTTAGAAGCGGTGACATTTCTATCAAAACATTAGTATGGACAGGATACCTTTCAAAGACCTAACTTGAGAAGATTAAGAAAAATTCCCTGTATCAAGAAGTCCCATCAGTTTTTTTCAGCACGTGTATTGTCTGACAGTCTGTCTGGTTAGTAACACCTACAGCTCATGCACAGAAGTGCTAACATTAAGAATTATTTTGAGGATATTTTCTAGCTGCAAACAGTTGCACTGCTTGATTCTCCTGATATTGATCACTAGTGCTAAGCATTGGGGACATATTTAAGGACAAGCTTCACTTCAGTGTCTCAGGAGGTTTATTAGCTTAGCATTTGGGATTTGCAGGGGTTGGTCCAGGCTCAGCACTGACTGAAGTGACTACGTGGTGCAGCTGGCAACTCACACGTGCCTTTCCACCTACCCACTGCCTGAGTGACACTGCCAGCACCAAACAGGGATCGGCCTGCTGCTAAACCGTGCAAAGACTAAACTGACTGAAAAAAGAGCAAGGTCTTTATATTTTTTTCTGTGGAAAAGCCACAGAATAAAGCTTTCCCTTGCTTTCTATTCTAAAAACATTACTGTGGCTTCAGAAAGAAATAACTCTTATGAGAAGTCAGTGAATCTGGAAAAGATTAGAAATTGTAATGAAATAAGTACTGCTCTGACTGCTTTCTAACTGGGTAAAAATTACAGCAAAGGGAAAAAAAGCATTAGTGCTTTTCTCTCACTTAATTACTATATTTGAAATTAGTTTTGTAAGTCACATATTTGTCTTCTGTAGAATAATTTAGACCAGAATAATTTAGACCAGAATAATTTAATTAATAATTTAATTAATGCTTGAAAGCTATTAAAATAAGGCTCAATACCCTTAGCAACACATCATTCTTTTGGTTAGAAAACCACATAATCTGGTATTCCTTACAAAGATGAAGGACTTGTGTAATAGACAAACAAATTATATTAGATTAAGAAAACTTTGAAAAATTAGTGTAGTTTTTTATCTTGTATTTGCCTTCCAAAGAATAAAGACACTTCTGAATTGTAACATTTTCTTCTAAAATACAGATGGTTATACTCTGCCTTCAGTTACACTTGGAGCATACATATTTACAGGAAATAAAAAATGGATTCAGCAATTTCTTATTGTGAAATATAGGGAGGGAGAAACAAAATAGTATGTGTAAAACAAAGGCAGAATTTTATGACTTAAAATGTGATGAAATCAGTGATTAGGACAAGTTGGAAAATAGTATGATCATTGTAGCTTTCTTTAACTCTCTGTGCCTAATAAAACGTCTTATTTCTTCTCTGTTGTTGGCCTCAAATGACAGCAGCATTCCTGTTCAGAAAACATGCCCTTAACGTGTTCAACGTGCCCATCTGAAGTACCACTGGAATAAAAAGTACAGCAACAAAGTCACCAGCCCTTTTACATCCACTGCTTGGTTTGAGGCTTTTTGAGGAAAAACAGCATGTGCCTCTTTCACTCTGGATCTGATTAAGAGATGCCTCAGATGTAAGAGATACTTAGAATTCAGGGAGTTGAATTTTTCTCCAACTGCAAACCAAAACGTATGAATAATGCTGTTATTTGCAAGGCTGGTGTAAACCTGGAAGAAGTCCACAAAGACGTGGGAACCGAGGAGTTCTGCCTCCTGTGTTCCTGCGACTGAATCCAGCTAAGCCACGTTCGTTCACAACAACAACATTACAAGGATTTTTTTTTCCCCCTCAGAGGGAGATTTTTTGCAACATTACACAAGCTTTTAAGAGGAAAACTTTATGCTATGATGGGCAACCTGATCCAGCATCAAAATCAGCCTTGCTCTGAGCAGGGCGTTGGGCCATATTCCCTCTGAGATCCCTTCCAGCCTAAATTGCTCTGTTCTGTACTTCTGTGATTGGATAAGTGGGGCTCAATTAATGAGTGAGATAGTTGAAGACTCCAGAATAAATTAATATTCTTGATGTTGTGCCTTGATAAAAAGATTGTGATATGAACTTCCCTTTAAGAGAATAAATCTCTGTGTTCCATATGAATTACAATGAAGATGTAATGATGTAAAATACAGTAGTTTAGTACTGCTTTAATTAGAAATGTCAAGAAAATGATACAAGTACAAAAAAATAATTGTCTCTGATAACACAAGATGAAAAGAGCATCAGTATGGGTCAAACCAAAGACTGTTCACCTCAAATCCTGGTGGTGTGGATGCCTTGGAAAGAGTGTAAGAACAGACAAGAATTTACATGCCCTGTCCCTATCTCTTGGCCTTCACTGTTGCCAGAGAAGGGCAGAGGGAGAAAGCAGGCTGAGAGCTGAGCATGGCTACATTTTAATGTTATTTTCAAGACTGCAGTAGGAGGTACAAATGTTATGTTTTTAAATTAAAATAACTTCAATTGATTTGCTTTAACGAACAATTTGCTTTCAAGCCCTACTCTGCAGACATACATGCTGAAGAAAACACTGGGCAGTCCTTTAGCAAGGAAAAACCTCTAGACAGGTGCACAAAAACTACACAGGGATATGAAGTTAGTCTAGATATTTGCCAGGTGAGGGAATACAGCTGTGTGCATCAAGAAACTAGAGCAAGGTCAGCAGAGGCCAGTGAGATGGTTGGGAGCTGGATGCCTGAGGATGCTTGCTCAGCCTGATGAAAGCAGACTTTGGGGGAGCTGGCAGGGCCCTCCAGTATCTACGATGAAGTCATCAAGATGGCAAATTTGGACTCTTCATAGTGGCACATGGTGGGAAGACAACAATATAAATGTAAACAGGAGAGGTTCAGACTAGATATAAAGAAAATGTTCTTTCCTCAGCAGCCAACAAGCATGAGAACAGGCTGTCCACCGAAGCTGGACGGTCTCCATCCTTGGAGGTTTTCAAGAGTAGGCTGGGTAAAACCCTGAACAACTGCATTTGGCCTCATCAATCACCTCAGCTGGAGCAGGAGATTGGACAAGGGTTCTCCTGAGGTTCATTCTAAGCTGAATTATCCTACAGTCTTTTGACTCCCAGTTCATAGTTTTTAAAGCACCTACGGCATGTTTTCTCTCTGGCCTGATCCTTTGATGTTTTCTCTCTGGCCTGATCCTTTGTGTGATATTAAAATAAACAGGTCAATCAGAGCGTGGATCCACCTTGCTTTTTACAAGAGTATGCATGGTGTAATCCTTTCACCCTTCACAGCTACCAAATCCTTAGTCCTGCAATGGTTTTCCTAACAACAGTATGGGATGTCGCATAGATTTTAACTAAAATCAGAGACAATCTGCTATTTCAGAATGAGCTGGTACAGTAAGCACTTCCAAGATTTCACTTACACTTTGTTTACCCAAGGTGGTCCTATCAAAGTCCAAGGAATGACCCAAGCAGGAAACAAGTGAAGGCAGACACACCCTCTGTGGACTTTGTTTCTCCAGTAATATTTTCTCCTAGCTGACACACCTCTGCTGTGCAAGCAGATGGATCTTATTTGCTGTGATATATGAAGTTTTACTGAAGCTACATGTTAGCTCTTGTTTGAAAATGTAACATGGAAACTTTATAAACAAGACTAATATTTGTCATTCATTTTAACAATGTGTTCTGGCAGGATTTGATATACGCTCTGGAAAAACCCATGCTTTCGGTCATACTCTCGGCTCCTCTGCACCACCAGAAACTCAGAGTCACCGCCGTTCGTCACCACCGAACTTTCTGTCTGGAGGCCGGCGTTTGGCGGCGCGGGAGGCGCGGGCACGGCCCCCGCTCCGTCCCCGCCGCTCGCCCCCCGTGCCGCAGGGAGCGCCGCGGTTTGCGGGGCCCTGCCCGTCCCTCCCTGCTTCCCCAGGATCGGGCACTGCCGTGAAATAGCTGCGAGGAGGGGGCGATGCGAAGGGCTCCCCCCGCCAGGGCGGCAGCGCGTTCCCATGGTGACGGCGTCCTGGCAACCGCTCCCGCTCCCGCAGCCCGGCCTGCGGCGGCCGCCCCGCTCCCAGCCGCTCCCATCCCATCCCATCTCATCCCATCCGCTCCGCGCAGCCGGCCGGGAGGGCGGGCGGACGGACGGAGCCCCGGCAGCGCACCGGCGGTCACGGCGCTGGGGAGCGGCCGCTCCCGCGGCGGCAGCGCGCCCGGAGCGGAGCGGAGCGGAGCGGGGCTCGGCTGGCGGCGGGGATGCGCGGGAGCGGCGGGCAGCCCTGCCCTGCCCTGAGCCAGCACCGGTGAGTGAGCGCAGAGGCTGTCCCGGCTCTGTCCCCCCGTGTTGCATGGCCATAGAGTGGTGTCTGCACCGCGGTGTCCTGTGGGCTGTCGTACACCCGTGTCCCCGCAACCTTCGCCGCGCCCACCGGTGACCCCCGCACCGCGGGGCCTGGACCCCCGGCGGGGCCGAACCGCGCGCAGGGCAGGGCAGGGCAGGGCAGGGCAGGGCAGGGCAGGGCAGATCGCTCCGCCGCGATTCCCCCGCTCACGGCGGTCGGCACGGGGCGGCAGCGGGGCCGCTCGCACCTATTTCTGCAGAGGCTCCCGGTCTGGCTCGGAGCCCCCCGGCCTGGCTCGGAGCCCCGGGCTCGGTCACCGCGCTGCCGGCGCAGCCCCTCCGGCTCCCATCGCGTGGTCACGAGTGCCACGGCCGCGCCCAGAGGCTCGGCACGGGTCTGGTTCTCGCTGGCGCTGCCGGGCTCTGACCCATCCCCTTGCCGAGCTGCAGCACAGGGACTTTTCCGCTTACTCCGGAGCGTTGCCCCAGCGCACTTCAGAGTAACACTGGGAAGCATCTGGCGGCTGCCGGGGTGGTGCCGTCACACGCTCCCTGTGCAGCAACCAAAGCGATTTCTATTTTAAGAAGGAACGAGTGATTAAAGTGTTTGCCGAGGCAGGTATTTCAGTCTGCTTTGATTCCCGTGTGACTTGCGGCAAGTCACATAGCCCGCCCCGTGCTTCACTTCCCTACCAGCCACAGAAGGAAATCGTATTTTCAGGGATAATAATGCTTCCTACCTCACAGGCATGTTGTGAGAATGAATGTGAAAAACACTCCGAGGTGCGCAGACATTACAGCATTAGTTGTAGATCATCATGGAAGATAGGAAACTGAACACTAAAGGTATGATTATCCTTCAAAGCAGGAGAAATGGAGATCCCACAGAAAATAAACATGCGAGGCAGTCTGAGAAGTGGTGAAGGGATGCCACAGCACAAATAGCAAGGAGTGAACTGCACATTGCTACAAGTACCTCTTCATCACATCCCATGGATGATTTCTTTTTTTTTCCCAAGCTTTTACATGTCTTATGTCAATGATTTAAAGAAACAGTAAGGAAGCACTGCACATTTGTATGGAACATTTGCCTTAAGTATCAAGTGAACTGTTATTTTTGGTAATCAGGTATATTGTTTCCAAATGGGAAAAAACCAGTATCTTGTCCACGTGCAAGTATATTTGGAATATTCAGTAACTTAAATCAGTCAACCTAAATTTACTGGGTTAATATATCATGACTTAAATTGCTTATAGCAGTGTGACGCAGGAAGCAACATTATTTAAAAAAAAATAAATTAGGCACCTGTAACCCGTATTTCAACTGGTATCTTACTCGACCTGTTTACTGCCATTGAAAGAGCCACGTGAAATTATACTCCTCTTTAGAACACCTTATGGTTTCTATTTACTAGTGTAAGTTGGTATTACTCTCATAGAGAAGGAATTTGCCGTTAGTTCTAACACCTATTTGTTAATTGCAAATATCTCCAAACTGCAGCAAAGTTTTGTACAACTGCCAACCGAAGTCTTAGACCCTTTCTGGCTGTTGGATCAGATCAAGAAATCTGATATCTGATGATGAGATGCTTCACTGTGTACTGAGCAAAGAGAAATGAATGAGAAGTTCATTTGTGTAACTTTTGTTTCATATCCACACTTACTCAAGATATTTCCAGTTAGCTGCATTTCTTGTGGTAGACTAGCAGAAGGAGTTAAGACTTCATGCAAACCTATGCTTAGCTTGCTGCAAACATATTTTCTAATTGATAATAAATGGGTACTGAAGGCTGTGAGACTAAAGCACTGGCTGGTTTTATAAGGTGTATTTCACTAAATTTCACTAAGATGCTGCTAAATGTATGGACTGTAATAGTTGTTCTTTGTTTTTCTAGGTAGGATCCAGTGCTTTGCTCCTGCGGTGCACATATCTCTTCCCAAATCAGTGGGATAATTCCTGTGTTTACAGCTAAATTATGATTAAAAGCTTCAATGCATCAAGATGGTTAAGATGTGTTAAGGCCCAGAGGTCTCAGGCCCACTGAGAACTGGGTGCCTGGTGGTGTGACCTGCTGCAGTCTGGTGGTGTGACCAGGAGGGACCCCTCGCTGAGTGCTGGCACTCCTTAAAAATCCAACAACTGGGAAATGACGAATGTGAGGAACAGACTGCAGGACTGGACATTCAATGTCTGTGCAGCACTTTGAATGCAGAAGTCACCACAATGACCCCCATCTCTTATACTGTGCTTTTTACTCATAGCCATGTAAGACCCTAAACAAGGAGGTAGGTATGGTTATCTCTCTTACACGTAGGGAAACTGAGTCACTACTCTTGGAAATAATTGTTGTCCAAAGTCAACAGGATCAGAGATTGAGCAAGGAATTCAATTCAGACCTTCTGAATTCCTGTCTGGTGTCACTGCTGCTCAGCAACCCAGCTTCTCTTAAAACTGTTTTTTTTCTAATTTGTAGTTTCTGAAGCACTGTGCTATAAATAGAACACACACACTGTGACAATGTTTGCTCTCTGCTTTCAGGCAGTGCTTTCATACATTGCTAAAGCACAAACATGCTTTGCATTTTGAGACCTCAGAGGGTAGCCCTATTGCTCCTTCACTATCGATATTTGACTATTGTATTTCCATAACCCCATCTTTCTCAGATTGCACAGGATTTCATCAGCAATTGTGAGCTTCTTTTCATACACCAGTCTTTATTTTGCAGTGAGGATTTTAGGTTCCCAAGGAGATCAGGCTCAGGCCATGCTACTTCTCTTTATACTTAAAAATGTTTTTTGTTTTATGTAGGGGAGATTTGTTGGATTTGATTGAGGCTAATATATTTTTCATTAATTTCTGTCAGTGGACAAAGCTGCTGAGCCAGGTACTGGTCTCACACTAAGACACTAAAATATCTTTCTGAAGCTATTTAATAGACCTACTCTGCTGCAATGTCTGTCACAGTCTGGCTGTCTGTGTCTAAAAATTAAAACCAGAATTTATATTCTTACCACAGAAGAATTTACTTACAACCTAAAGTGTGGTCATTTAGATTTGAAGACAAATTAATACAAGACCCAGTTTTGATAAACTATGCTGATGTCACACATTTTATTTAGGTTTCTGATTGCCAATGCTTTTATGAGAAAAACATCTTACCGCTAATAATCTGCTGTCATGAAACACTTGTATTTGATTCTCCAGTCAATATTTTCTTAAGTTTTATGATCATCCTGTAGACCTTACTTTATTACTAATTGATTAATTATATCAGAGACCAGTAGAAGATTGGGGACAAGAACTTTCTTTGCCTCTGCCCTGCCAAACCAGTTCTATGGGTCAACAGCAGATTTCAGTTTCAAGGCTGTCAACCTTGTCTTTTCAAGAGTATCACTTTCACTATAACAAGCTTTTTAGCAATTTTTAGTCTTCATTCTTTTGTATTAATTTTTATTTGCATTTATTGCATTAGCAATATTTGGATGCCAAGATCACCAGTGTCAGCATAATATTACACTCAACTTAAAGGTGCACTGAAAGCAAAAGCTTTAAGTCATTTCAGTACCAGATGTAAGCTATTCAATAATTCAATTTGTACTTTTTCAACAGACGTAAATTATTGACCAGAGAATGGCCCACCGAAGCCCAATCTTCCCAACTCTTGCCCCTTCTGAAAGGTACAGTCTGGAATATAAAACCAAAAATCTTCATGATGCAGAGTATTTATGTATCTCTTTATTCCCTATATACAGTAATGCTGTGACCTGGGACTTTGGCATTAGTGTGCAATGCAAAGTGAAATACCATAGACACTCAAATCATAGCCCAAATGACAAAGCCTTACTCAGCTTTTATTTAGCCCTTCCCAAAGAAATTCAATAGCTTAAATCTCACTGACTAGAAGTGCAAGAACACTTGTGTTCAAATAGCATAGAATGAGTTGTGAAAACACAGAGCCAAAAGTGACCTTTGTTGGAACCCTCATACATCTCTATCAATAAGTCCTCTCTTTCAGCCTAGGTGGAGAAAACTCTATGGTATATTCTTCCAGGGCAAGGCCCTGGGGATTTCCCTGAAGTGTTCAAAGGATTCCACCACCATGGTCAAACTGAACTGCTAATTTGGCTCATTAACAGGAAACAACATGAGAATACACAGTAAATAAGAATTCCTAGAAAAAAGATCTCCTTTTCTGAAGTGGGGTTGAACTTATATCCTCTACTTATGCTTCTGAAAATGTTGTTATTCTTTACAGAACATAGTGGCAGGAAAAGATTGCATGCATTAGCAGACTCATTTTATTACTTTCAGCACCCATGAGCTCCACTGCTTTCCATGGGAGCTATGCAATGCAGAGCACTCTTCAAAAATTTAGATAATTATTCAAGGTGCCCAAATGTAAGCTATTTTGGGTGGGAAATTTAACTTCTAAGACTATGAGAAACTTGTCATAAATTTGGTCTCACCTCAGTTTCTATGCCCACATATGCTCCTGTCCAGTTTGCAGGGGAACAAGCTTCTGTATGGTATTACAGGCTAGCTATAGAGAGAGAAAAGGGATTGACACAAGCTACTCCTTTTTAATTCTGATCTGGTTTAATTTAATTTACAATACCTACCTTCAACTACAGTTTTGATTAAGCCATTAAGCCTGAAAACTGTAAAGACAAATAACCTTACTTTTGAAACTCAGTAGAAGGGTTTGAATTTGGATTCTTAATGAAATTATAGTTCTGATTTGTAACTACTTTTATCATGCAAACGCCCTTTCCTTAAGATCCCATGCTTTTGTAAGCTTCCTTAAAGACCGTGAAAAAAAGCCTGACCTGCCTTTGTACAAGACACACAGCCAACACAGCACCACTTATTTGTAGCAGTGGACACTCTCTGGGTGTATTTTGGGGCCTCTCCCCAGCACCGCCAGTACTCAGACAGTGCCATACTGCCTTCAGTGCAAAGGCATTGCAGAGTTTTGTGTGACAACTTAACAAGATGTGGACATTCCTCCCCCCCAGACGGGTCCGAAACATCCCTCTGCACAGCCAGGCCCTGACAGCGGTGCCGCTGGCATCCGCCAGCCTGGTGGATCAGCTGGAGGACAGAATCCTGAGCCATGAGAAAACAACGGCAGCTCTTGTGGAGCACGCTTTTCGCATTAAGGAGGACATTGTTTCCACGCTGCACAGAATGCAGAACAAAGGGGGGGGTGACCGGTTGGCAAGGCAACTCCTGGAGGAGCACATCCGAAACATAACTGCGATAGTGAGGCAGCTCAACCGGGACATCGAGGTATGGCAGGAATGTTGCACAGCACTAATGCCATCTCAGCTACTTACTGCTTCTCATTTCCTAACAAAGTTTACCACGGGATAAGTAAAGGTCAGACAAGGTCTGAAGATCCTGTAAGCTTATAAATTGTTTTTACAACTTGAAAAAGTGTTTGCAAATTACATAATTCTTTCGGTGGCTATGAAAATAGCACAGGATATTAGCATATAAACACAGGAGCCTTTGTGGTTCTAATAAGCTTGCTTTCAAAAGCTGCACTGGAAAATCTTGAAAAAATGAATTAATGTGACACTAATACCCAGCTCAACTTCAGTCCAAAGGCTGTGCTGTATAAACACTAGGAAATGCCTTCGCTCTATAATAAACTTTCTTTCCCTTCCGACTCTCTGACGACACGAAGTAACCAAACCCAAGTGCTCATTTTTATGACCTAATCCTAGGCAGACACATGACTTCATGTCTGACCTCTGCTGCAGTGAACAACAGGGGTGTGGTGGGGAAAATGAAAGGAGAAAAAAAAAATTAGGTCTCCATTTCACTGCCAAGTTATACTTTATATATATTGTGGTAGTTGTGTGCAGATTGGACACTAATAATAAGAAATAATAGAATACCTCAAAGGTATCTGGTTTAGTACATTACAAGACAAAGCTTTGAATAAAGTAATAATAAAATGGTATCTGAGGATACTGAATTACTGAGAAATAATGAGTGACATTTAAAGTGTACATTAAATGTGACATACTGAGTTTTTATTTGCATATGAATGTTCTGTAGATGCTGCAAGAACAGATACGTGTCAGAGACAATCTCAGCTATGGAACAAATTCTACCCTGAAGAGCCTTGAAATGCGGCAGCTTTCTGGCCTAGGAGATCTTCGGGGAAGAGTTGCAAGGTAAAAGTCCCCATGGAACTGTGTTTTGGGGGCTAGCTAATTTTGTTTTAATCCTGAAGTGTTAATGATAATGGGTTGAATTCAACTTTGGCAAAATTCCAAGGATAATTTTGCTCTGCATTTTCAAGAAAATGAATAATAATACTTTGCATTCCAGTCTTACATATTAAATTTGGCAATGTCACCCTTCATTCCTAAAATTCCTGAAATTAGTTCTAAATAAATTATTTCAAATTCCCTGGGAAATTGGATTTGGTTCAGCTTTTAAAAAGTACTGTGGTTAGACTCGTGTCTTTGAAACAAGTTAATTAGCACAATTATAAAGGCAGCACGGAACAATCTGCACTTGTGAAGAACAAAACAGTTGCACATTTTTGCATATATTTTAGAAGTAAAAATCTGCACATTTAGTTAGTGGTTAGCCATATTAAATCCCACATGGGCTACATGACACATAAGGAACAGAAAACTGTACAGTAACAGAGGTTTTACAGGCTGCCCAAAGTTCCTGGTTACAATTCTGCAGCCACACAGACTTCAGCTGTGCCATCAATGACAAATTTACAAACCCCAGCACAACAACATTTGCTTAAGTGCCTGTAAAGTTGAACGTGAAAGACAGAGGATGTGCACAGCCCCAGGAAAAGGACATAACCTGGCCTTAAGCTGCTTGGGTAATAACTTTGGTGGAGCTATATTTGTCCTGAATTTGACCTGCTGTCTATATTGTGCAGATAATTTTCCTTCCTTTTCTGCATTTAGTGATAACCTTCAACAACATATAGAAATAATCAGAGAGGGATTTTTATTGAACTAAGGTTTTCTCATCAATTACTCAATTGTCCGAAGCTTCCACTGTAATTTTCATAACCTATTTTGTAGAAAATACTTTAGAGGTTTCAAAAAGAATTAAACAGTTAGTAAGTTATGCACTATCCTTTAGCGAATGCAAATGAACTAGTTTATTTTTTTTCATATCAGGAAATTGATGGAAAAACCTATAGAGAGATACACATACATGTATTTATCCTGCTGAGAAGTCCCCCAAAATGTAAATGCTTAGATCTTCCTGCTTCTTTCTATAAAAATACTTTGAGATCACACTACATCCTGAGAGGGGTTCTGTGTGGAGCAGCACTGTTACTGACACCTTGGGAGGCAAAATGTGGTGCCTTTGCCCTCAGTCAGGGAACTCCAGAGAAGCTCGTGCTGCCGTGCTGCAGGGCCCTGTCCTGGCCCGAGCACTCTGTGTGGGAGACTGGGGATGGGCACAGGCTGTGCCAGGGCTTCTTCCTTTACTTCCTTAGGGCACCACCCTTGTGCTGTGCCTGGGTTCAATTTATCTGCAAATGGGATGAGATTATACCCATGTGCCGTCTGTCAGACTGTGTGATGAATGCAGGTTATTTGTATTCGTTCCCATAAGAGAATCAGTTTATTGCCCTTTAACTGCTACCTTCCGTACTGCATTCTATGCTTCTATTCAGCATGTTCTCTTAAAAAAAAAATCCCTGAATGAGGAAAAAAAAATCTTCCCTTTATGAGAAAGCAATTTAAAACAATGGTCCATGAGAGAAAGCCATTTACCTTTATTTGCAGACATATTCTACTTTGAAATTAGTGTTCCAGTGAATACTGATTATAGCACTAGCTGGAGATTATGTCAAGACAGTGGTTTGTTGTGCCTTTGGCACAACACAGAGAAGTTCCCTGAGATAAGCACCTTCTGATTACTTTAGCCAATGTTCCTTCTATAAAATACACTTTACTCACCTAATGTAATTTTACCTCTAGTGCTGCTAGCTTCCAGATGAATTCAGAGTGAAACGCTAGAAACACGATCAAGTTAGTGTGGGTTACCAACTTCCTGTGCATCAACTTTCAGCAAAGGTACATTGAGAGGCTGCAGTAGCTCTGAGTGCTGTGTTTGCTGCAGGCTGGCAGCATGCAGAAGGACAGTGGGAATCAGTTTAGACAGTAAATCCCAAAGCACGAGCCCCTTGTCATGTAATAACTTTAGTGTCCATCTTAGGATTCTGGCCAAATTTCAGTTCCAGTAATTTCATGCATACTAAACATCCTATTCCAGTTCCATATTGGAGAGAGGGGTGTTTATTTCCTAACACCAGCTGTTCTGTAACATGTCAATATATCATCAAACAACTGTCTCATTATTTCTTGAGGGCTAGTGCTATTAATGATGGGAACAAGGCATCCCTACATGCACATGCACTTCTGAAGCACAGCCCCAAACCACACTCCCCACTGCTCTGCACGAGTGAGATTCCAACACACCTCACTCACATCACAGAATCAACTAATACTGCTATCAGAAGGTGACAGACTACACATTACAGCTCATGACTCTGGATCCTTTCTCAATAAGCACAGTTTACGGATGAATTTGTAAAGTGTTATCACAGCCCTGAATTATTGCTAAAAATCAGCATTATTATTAACTTTAAGAAAAAATATTACCTCTATAAAATTCAGCAATGCATTAGCAGAAAATTAGATCTATGCCAGTAAATCATATTCTCCAGCCTCCTGTCTCTTATGTTGTCAATTTTATATTATACAGATTTACCAGTTCTTTTCCAAGTGATAACAGATAATAAAATTCATTAGTGCCTTATCATTTATTTAGAGAATTACTTGTGGATAATGAGCATTTGTCTGGAAAGTTTTAATCCAGCAGTCTGGTTGGAATGATAGCAGCAGCTCTTCATAAAAGCTTCCTGAGAGCTGAAACATCCGGAGAAATAGCGACTGTGTGTGTTCAAATTGGACCTACTTTGCATATATAGATGACTTTTTTATCTATATTATAGTCTGATTCATTTCAGACAACCTGGACTCATTACACGTAGGCAGATTTTCCTGCTGCACAGATTATGAGTCTGATGCATCTGGGCTGCACCACACTGACAATGTCCCCAGGAGCAATAAATGTGCTGCTCTCTGGCTCTTGCTGTGTGGGAGGTGGCACCACGAGGGCAGCTCTGGGCTCCCTGCCCCAGGCCAGCACAATCCACCAGCTCTGCTGCTCTTGCCCAGTGCCCCACTGGGCATTTCAACTTGCTTTTCACTAACTGTTCTCCAGCTACTCGTTTTTCACTGGCATTTTAATTGAAATAAACCAGGAGCATTAAAAACTCTCTCCATACCATACAACATATGCATATAGCAGCCAGCTGCAGAGTACTGGCACAGTTCTCACTTTATCTATGCCCCAGTGATACTGAATGGAGCAGCTACTTGTCTTTTGGTTTCTTTGATGCTGAACACAAATATTTTCTTCCAGGCTAAAACCAATCGTGTTTGTGAGTGTGTACAATAGTTATAGAAGATAAACCAAAATAATCTGCTCTATGCATACCAGGCAGACATTAAATTCACATAGTCAGAATATTGATGTTTCAGTTACCACGGAACTACATGAACCCTTTGGCCACATAACTGAATTCCATGAAGAAGAGAGATGCTCTGTGATTAAACCCAAAACACTAATTTACTTTAAAAACATTCACAGGTGCTTGCTGATTAAATTTGCTTCAGTAGTTTCAAAGCTGTTGCTCTGTATATTTTCTGCCGTGCCTCAGAGAAACAAAACTGAGCATTTTTTGGAGCCCACAACCTTTTGGTGACTTGATTCAAGATGATTCCATTTCCCTGATTCTCTCTGATTGCAACAACATGGAGAGATTTGGCTTCTCTCATCTTTCTAAAGAAATTGCCTGATTGTGAGCCCTAGAAGCTTTTCACTGCTATGTAAACCCTAGCCAGGCTTCCTGCAGATATTACTACTGGGCCTCACAATGCTGAACTGCTACACTAGAAATTCATTTCCTCAGGTTTTATAATGCCTATGTGCTATTTTACATTACTGATTGTTTTTATATTGAAACTGTACCATAATAATAAGCAGATGTTCCTTTTGTCATTTTAGTTGTGACTTTCCCTTCATGTTTAATGATAATGGCAATTCCTGTAACTGAGGTAATGAAAATGCATGTTGAAATGAAAGCTTTCAAACTGAAATGTGACTAAAAAGATGACAAAGTATGACAAAGTATGTCATTGGTTTAGATAATGACTTAACATGCCTCAGCTTGTTCTATTTTACTGCCTTTTTCTCCCTCAAATTGTAACTGTTGTCTGTTCCTCATCAGTTTCCTATATCAAATCTGGTAACACTGATGATTACACATTTCCCTTAGCAAAAAAAAAAAAAAAAAAAAAAAGAGTCATACTTCACAGAGGTCTTACTCCTGAAATCACAGTACTCATATTTTTACAGCTCAGTTAATGCCCTTACTGCATGACTGTAGATGAAATCCAACTGATCAAATTATTTTTAAATCTGGTAGAAAACACACATGTTCTATAGCATATTTATCCTGAAAATGTTACCGCTTTAAGAAGTGTTCCAATGTGACAAAAGGAAACAATAATTATTATGTTCCAGGACTTCATTTTACAGGCTTTTCTGAGACAAAATTGCTATTGCTTTCAATGACAATTTATTTATTCACCTAAATAAAGAATAAGAACCATAAAATTTGCCCCACATTGTTAAGTACACATATTAGCTGTGTACTACTATTTCACAAATAAAAATGCAAAGGTACAATAATGAAACAATGGTCCTCAGTTATTTAGGCTATTAATCATGTAGGGGGATGCATATCAGTCATGTAGGGGAACCTCATCAGATATATCTTCTGGAGCTTTAAAAAAGACACAGAAATGAAGTTCTGCATCTTTGTATTTCTGATGTGATTTCCCTGAGTGAAATCACAGCCTACCCATATCATGTCAGTGCCAAGAACAATGGGATTTGTTCATCAGACTATTTGACCTTCAGACCTATTTGGGAGCACTTCTCTGAACACTATGAGATGTATTACCATTCTTACAGTCTCAAAGACATTGCTTCTCTGGCCAGCCAGGGATTCCACAGAAATGGCCAGTATGAAATGGGTAATTTTAGAAGCCTGAACCTTATATTCTATTTGGCTGGTGCTTTGTTTTTTATCTATTCAAACAGGTGTGATGCTGGGTTAGCCAGGCTGTCTGCAGAGCATAAAATTACATATGAAAGACTTCAGAGTCTAAGTAAAGACCAACACACCTCCAAGCTGATCTTAGAATCTAAAATCAAAGAGGCAGAAATACAGGTATGGTATTTAGACCAAGGCAATCCCTGTACAGGTAAGAGTTCTAGTCTAATTCACACTGACTCCATAACTGTTAATTATTATCCTGGGAGGTCACAGATTTCCAAATGGAGAGGTGTATCAGCTCAATCCTTATTACACTGAACGTTGTACCTAGGTGCGTTACTGTACTACTGCTCTAACTGGAAAAGGTCCTTAATTTCTTCCTGCAGCATCTGTGTAGAAGGGGTTAGTATGTGAAGGCACATGCTCAACAAAACTACAACAATACAAGCCTCTGTGTCTTTCACTGTTTATTTTGGCCTTCCCAGGATGATCCTATATGTATTTGAACACAATTTTTGAAGGTGTGCAAAACAAAACTGGCTTTGGGTTCCGTGAATCCATTAATCTGACTCTCAGGTTTCTCTTCCATTGGGTTTGAGAATGGAAGTGAGCACTAGATACAAGCAGAGACTTGGAGATATGAAGAATCCTTTTCCTTAATGTCACATCTCAAGGCCTTCCCATTTTCTTGGTCAACAAAAGTATTTTACATCTTCCTTTTGCGGTGGGTAAAAAAAAGGCTAAAATGCACTTTGCCTTTCTCAGAAGGCTCAGTGTAGTATATTAGCATGCCAGGAGCATGTTGTCATGCATCTTGTAGGGAACCAGAACAGTAGGCTTTGAGAAAGTGGGATGGCTGTTTTGGTGACAAATATTCTCTTGTAGTTAGGACTTCTCCCCAGTTGAACCCAGCACTTCTGTCACTGCAGTGGCCCTTACACACAAAGTGATGCAGCACATCCCTCAGTATTGGTGGAATGCTTGGGCACTTGTTTATTTTGATTATGTGGCAACTTGGAGATGTATGGATCATGAAAATTCTGCTGTCTAAAGGAGGGACCAGGCAGAGATTTTCAAGGCAAAACTATTCATATTATTTAAGGCAAAAAAATTTACAATTTTCAAAATGCTAATACTTTCACATTGAGAGACAGTATATTTTCATTATAAAGTAAAATATGCAAATTCAATAATTTTTGAAATGTTAGCAAAAGTGAGCTCTCTGTTAGACCTCCTCTACTGTTATGAAAATGCCTCAGATGAATCAGTGATGAAATGCTGTTGAAAAATAGTGAATTCTGAATTTTGTTTCAGATTTCTCATCTGCTGAGCAGAGTAGAGCAATCGATAATGCAACAAGAAGCAAAGCTGAAGATTGCCTACAAAGAGAGCAACCAACAACTGCAAGTTCTGGACACAAAGTAAGTGCCTGGGAAGCCTTGCTGCTGCCATGTACCTTGGGAGCAGGACCTCTGTTTTCCCAGTCTGACTGGTATAATCTTCAGGCCTATAAAAGCAGGAACCTCTATGAATATGTGTGTTTGCTCCACAGATATTACAAAAGCTGACTGTCAAGAGGGACTTGCTTTCACCAAGGATTCTGCCCCTAATGTGGTTAGGCAATTCTGAAAAGTTGATTAAGTTCCTGGTTAAGTATTCAGGCAGAACTTATATTAAAGGACACAACTAAGGATTTTTTGTCAGAGTGGCCTGGTGCCTTTCTATAAGAACTGTCTGAAGCAATGAATGCTGGAGGTGGCTGTCCAGAGCAGGGGAAAAAGTTCAACTGAAGCAAGCAGGAAGCAAGTTACAGCACTCATAGAGTGCTACTGCTTTAAACTGGCTTCAAACATGAATATAACTGAAATACCTAAATTATTAGTGATTAGATACTCTGTACTACCAAACATAACATGGAGTCATTGTATTCAATTCAGATGTTAACTCCTCTCCAGGCATTTCACTCAGTAGCAGTCCTGGTATAAGCCATTTCTTACTGCTTATCACCATCCTCATGCAATGCAGGTTTCACATATTCACTGGAGAACAGAAACAGTTTCACTGGCACAATTGGTTGGAGTAAAGTTGAGGTAGGTATAGACAATGTAAGTGGAGCTACAGGAACCAGCACTGTCACCAGAATGAGTGGCTACCAAATCTTTGCTTGGATTTGATACATATGGGCATAAAGTTTATAATCTGAATGGATGACCATATTCTGTTTTCAATGTCACAAAGAATTTTCACCTATTATGGTTCAAATTTTGTAATGTGTTTCATATAGATTTGTTGTGAACTTCTACCTTTGTTTTCTAAACCAATGTTACCACATCCAGTTTAATAGCCTCAACATTCAAAGGCTCGCCTTAATATGGTGTGAAGAATGTATTAAATTGCCATTTTGTGTTTTTATGAACACGTTCATAAAAAAGTCACTGTTGAATGACCAGTTCTTCTCTTTTGTATCTGCTAATTTCTGTTGTGCCCCTAGATTAAAAGATGCTGTTGAGGAGCTCAGCAATCAGATTTTGTCTGCACGGAGCTGGTTGGAACAGGAACACGGAAGGACTGAGAAAGAACTTGTACAAAAAATTGACCAACTCTCACTGACTTTTAAGGAAAGCACTGTGAGTTTCATTCAAATGTCCTGTAATGCTTCTCAGAAAGCATTCAAAAGCATTATTAATAACTAAGATGACATAATTGAGATATTATTTGAGTGATATTTTCAGATAGCCTCAGAATATGCCAAAGTCTCTTCATCAATATCAAGCGTAATGCCTACAACTTGAGAATCTTTAAATAAATCTGGTCACTGCTAAATAGATCAGTATTTTAACCTACACTAATCAAGTAATTTCAAATGATTTTATGAAAATTGTAATTCCTTACATTTTAAATTCCAGGTAAAAGATGATAAATCAGTATCTATTTCATATTTTTAAAAGACCACTGTTATTCCACATGCAGAGCAAATAATTAAAATTCTGTTTCCCGACTCCAGGAAATGAGTGAGAGAGGTATTGAGATGAAATTCAACCAAATGGCAGAGAAAATTGAGAGAATAGAAGAAATGCAGAAGATAACCATGGAGGCACATGAAGCAAAACAGTCTGAAGAAAAGCTAAATATTCGCATTGTCAAACTTCAAAATGAGATAAATGAAGATATAAAAGAAATGAAAGCTGAAGTCAATGCTGGTAGGACCATAGTTATCCAGTTCTTTATTCTGAATTGTGGTGACAGTGATCCACACATACTAATATGCAAAACGTCTTTGCTTGTATCAAAGTTGCTTAAATACTTTTGGGGTAGATGTAATGGCTACACCTGTGGCATTAAGAGGGATTTTCACTAAGTGCAAAAAGCAGAGCAATAAGGGGTGATCACCAGCTTAGAAGTGCTCTCCCCAAAGCAGGCACAGCCATAGGTGGGCTGCCATCAGGGCATTTCTGCCTTCAGCACACAGTTACACCCCATTAGCCTTCAGAACTTTTGCTGAGTTCCTGGTGCAAAGCAGAGCATTATGAAGTGCGTTCTGCTAGCAATGATGTGATACTTTGCTCCTCATGATGAACTAATGTCATTCTCACCTGCGATTAGGGTTTGCAGCTATCTATGAGAGCATTGGCTCCCTACGGCAAGTTCTAGAAGCAAAAATGAAGCTGGACAGAGATGAACTACAGAAGCAGATCCACCAAATGAAGCAGGAGGTTCCAAGATGGGGAGAAGCTGGACCATGACTGCAAGATTTTGTCTGAGAGATTAGCGTTTACCTGGCTAACTAGGCAAACTCTAGTGTTGTTCCAGTCTGTAATGCCAATTACCTGCATGTACCAAATGACATGCTGCTGCTGCTGCTGCTGCTGCTGCTGCTGCTGCTGCTGCTGCTGCTGCTGCACAGGGATTTGCTCACAGCAGTAAATACAAGCTGTTCTTGGATCACTGGCAATGAGCCTGTGGAGCTGAGGTGCTGCTTTGCCACTGCACTACTCCAGTTGCTGTCAGGAAATTTAGCACTGTGTAAAACTGGAGTAATACACTGGTGAAGCTGGCACCTAGTTTGCTAAAGGCATTCCAGTTTTGCAGGCTTGATCAGGCAGCTATTTGCTTTTATATGCACCTGCACCCCTCCACCTTAAAAAAAAGAAAAAGGTAAGTTGCTATCATTTGCTTCATATGAATTTGGCAAGGTTCTCCACCTTGATACAAATTACTTAGTTGAAATCAATGGACATTTTTACAGCGACTTTCTCTACTATTGACTTCCTGGGAAGACAGAATTGGCACTAAACAGACCAATCTTCAAAATAAGACAACATCCGAAAATCTTTGTTTAGGTTTGCAAATATTCTGTGTGTGAAAAGTAGGTAGTGTTATATAATGTAGTTGTAGACTTAGATGATTCATAAACAACATAAGAAACAACTTACATGGTCTTAAGTATTGTAACCTTTTAAAATTAATAACCAAGGGGAGTTGACACAAGGTAAAGGATGTATATAAGGTATTTTTTACTAGGCATGTGTTCCTATGACTTGCTTCAATATATTGATAAAAACTTAGAGTGGTTTGAAAGCTAAAGAGAAGGTGATAATCTAACCTAGTCTGGAGACTCTAATGTAAAATAAAATGCAGTTTATGATCTCCTTAGAAATTTTCATTGAAGTAAAAAAATGGATTCATCATATTTAAGTAGACTTTAATAATTTAGCACACTCAAATTGCTAATTGCATTCACATTATTTCCAGATCATAATTTCCATTCCCAGAAGAGATTACATATGAAAATCAGTACCCATGTGGCATATTATCTGGATAGAAAAAAAATATATGTTGTTTTTACTTCTTCATTCCTGGCATGATATATTGCTCCTCACATTTGTAAGCCATGCAGGATTAAACCCTCCTGAAAAAATAAAAGACTTTATCCAGCATCCTATTAATTTCTACTATTAACAGTAATTAATACACAAACCCAATATTAATTGACAGAATTTACAGTATTGTTAATCTAAATAAATTAGTAGGATGTCTCTACACTGCCCTTAATCAACCTTTCATTCAGCTAGTATTGGAAAAATATATTTTTAGTTGGAAAATCAGTGGCAAATATTACTTCCATAAAAGACATTTTCGTCCACAGAGTCACCATATATAAAACAAACAAAGAATTTTAAAAACTGCTTCAAGAACTTACAGTCATTAACTTCAGTAAGTCAGTGTAGAATGTAAAAATCATGTACATGCATACATCTTTGCAGGATTAACACCTAAGTTTGTATTCACTTCCTCTACAGCTGAAAGTCATTGAAGTCTCAAAGACACATTAAGCATTTGCAGCTCTGGCTCCCAATGCTCTCTGATACAAACCAGGAATACCAGAGGCAGTTTTGTTATCATCCATGTCCTGTGAAATATATTTTCAGTGGCAGCTAAGGGGAAAACCCAGTTCCCTAAAGAGAGACAATTAAATGCTTGAAGATATTTCTCAGGAATTTTCTTTAAAATTTAATCTTACTTCCTGTACGTATTCCTATCTATTCCTAAATATTTAGCCATGGGCAGTAGAAAAGCTATCACTGGTATTTTATTAAAAAAAAAAAGAAAAAAAAGAAAAAAAAAGAAAATAACAAAGAAAAGAGACAGACCAAAACCAGAATAATTTTAAAATTCTGTAATTGGAAGTCTGTACCCAAGAAAATCTGATATGATATGAAGAGCATACAAGGAATCAGAAACATTTATATAGGACTTAATTAAATTGTTTCTCTTGTAAAAATCTTGTGTGATTGATCCAGATATAAAACAACACAGGAAACCCTATCCAATTTTACTTTTTTTCTGCCTTAAAAATATTTCTTTCCTAAATCTCAGCTACAACAAATAAGTAAAAGCCCAAATAAAATAATACTCAACCTAGTGCCAAGCAGTGTCTTCAAACTCTGAAGTGCCAAGTGGAGGGAGGCCCAGGCCAGCCTTGTCTTGTTGGGATTGTCTGCCAGGGAGTGCTCACATGTGATAAGCCAGTCCTTCAGGGGAGATTTCAGAGTGGCTTCTGAGGACTGGAGTATCCTCTGATCATCTTAACATGCCAGGGCAAAATCCTCTCCTCGGGCACAGCTTCCCCTGAGGGGAACAGCTGGGAAGGCACCAGGGCAGTGCTGCAGACCCAGCTGTGGAACCTTGGTTTTGCCAAATGGAAACTGATTCTGAAAACTGACCCACAGGGATCTTGTAAAGACACATAGAAGGAAACAGCAGTGCTTGGAAGCACAGCTGCCCCTTTTTTTTCCTTCCATGCTGATGTCCAATGAGATTCCTGTGTTCCAGTCCTTCAGGGACACCAAGGTCCCCTTTTGATGGTGGAAACAATGTGCTTTCTTTGCTCAGCACAAGTGCTCATGCTGTAAGGCTGGGTGTGTGCACCAAGTGCAAGCCTGCCAAGCCCACAGAGGAACAAGGCAGTGAGGTAATGTTTGTGTGGATGGCACTTCAGCAACAGAATAAGACTTGGGAACGTATTATAGATGGGCACAAAATACTATTTAAATCACAAAATTCACTGACACAACCATAAACTCACTGAAAGGACTGGGAGGAGCCTTAGGAAGTCATCTGCTCCACCTCTCCACTTTGAAATAGATCCAACTCTACCTAAAATATTTGCCATAGACACTTCTGTATCTTGCTTATAACAATATTTTAAGAATAAGACATTGATTAATGCAGTCTATTCCACTGCTTAAAGAAGACTGCCTTGCCACCCAAATACTTAAACTAGGACAAGACATAATAGCCTTAAATTTCAAGCACACAGGACACAAAACCCAATCTATTACATTCTTTCCTGCATGTTCATTAGTTTTTTAAGGCAATCTGTATATAACAGATGACTCAAATGAAGCTTCACAGGGATATTTGCCCAGTATTTCTTAATTTTTTCTCCTTCCTAGACCCATATAAAACCCACCAAACCAGCAACACCAACCCAAAGAAACCACCACCACAAAACCCCCAAAACAGCCAAAAGCAGACCACTTGCTCTCATGAAGTTTTAAAATCTTTGTCAGCTATTTCACGTGCATGAGGCTTAAATCACTTGCAGTGTGCAGACCATACTATTCAGTCAGCTCTGTAGCACATACTGAGTGTCATAAGTTAAACTCATTGGAAAATGTTCAACTGGGGTACATGGCTTTTACATTAGCATGTGATAACACAGTAGAACCATGGTACTGTGCAGTGAGGACTTGGCTGGAATCAGAATGATGGCAGTAATTACAGAGCAATTGTGCTGTTTATACTCATTAAATAAACCAAAGGAATGGTGCAAGTAAGAAGTTCAAAGGATGACCCTAACTTCCACCTGCAGTTGTTTATGTAGTAAGTTTTGTGTTGTGGATACCTTTATATTGTGGATATCTTTGTCATTACAATCTGATATAGTTGAATAGACTGTTGCCATGTTAGAGAAAAGCAGTATGAATGATAATGAAGAACAGTATATTCCTGTGACATCAATTTAAACTGAAATGCAAAATTTTCTTTTCTCAATTTCTGTTTTATGTTCCACCTCCACGAGCATCTGGCCATCTGGGGCAGAGTGTTCTCTGTAACTAAGAATTAAAGTGCTCATTAGACATGTCTTCCAATAATGGAAACGTCTAATATGAGACAGGTGACAATCTGATGAAGCCCTCCTGTGTGTAGGGGAGGAATTCCTCCTGTGACACTCCCTGCAGTGTAAGAAATTCGGAGGCAAATTTGAAAGAAACCAAGGAAATTGGGTGCACGGCCTCTACTCAATTTGCCACAGGGTGTCACTGTTACTCTTAGCAAGGGAAGGACGGGGCTCAATGAACCTGTGTGATCCACAGACGCTGCAATCCCACTGGGATGAGGGCTGGAAGTGTTACCATGTACTTTGATAAAAGGGAAAAAAAAATATTCTAAAGACGTCACTCTGTAAAATCACAATAAAGGCAGATGATAATTAAGTAAATTATTCTGAGAATGATTGTGATGCTCCTTTAGACAATCTGTGAAGAATGTTGAGTGGGGACCAAATCTCTCTACTGCCTGTTCTGTCAGCAGAACTCTGGTCAACACAAACCACTAAAACCCCCAACCAAACTCCCAAACGCAGAAAAAAAATCGGAGACAGTTCTAAAGCACTAGATCTTAAATCATGTACAGCTCAAAGAGCAACATGCCTTTCACACTGCTGCAGACGTGCAGAAGAGGCTCCTCCAGCACTGCCTCCTGCTCTGAGACTGCCCTGGGTTGAAAGAACACAGGACAACCTCAACACCTACTACCAGATGTAGCTCTGAGCCCAGCACAAAGAGCTGCTCTCAGTCTATGCAAGGATGATCTCAATAAATAATACAGTGGAATAGCTTCAAATATCACAAAATATGTGAGAGAGCCACGACTTCTTTGGCACAGAGAAGTGAAAAAATGCTTTGAGCTCAGTGATGTACAGAGAACCAGGATCAAGTTAAGAGGAAAACTGAGTAGTAATTATCAAAATACAAAAAACCTGAAATGTATGAGGGGGTGAGTAGGAATTGCTGGTGAGAGAGGAGAAAGGAGATTTGCTTCTAGTAGGAAGTAATTACAATAAAACACATCATGCACTGCTGCACATACTCTGAAGAGTTACTCTCATTAAACCTGACCTCAGCTTCTGCTAAGGCTCATTTTCTAACACCAGTGCTTCCATTCTACATGAGTGAAGTTGAAGCAGACTGTCAATGAAGACATATTTCAGTGCCTGTGCTGTCTCATTGTTGTGCTGCCACTTCCTGATGGTATCAGGACAGTGAGGCAGGCACCCATCCTGCCAGGTGGCCTTTGTGATCTTGCCATCTCTGCTAAGAATAACTCAGATGTTCAATAATTGCATATTAGAGTATATATACAGCTGCATAAATAACACTGAATTTCCATGTTGTCCATGCTCTTTCATTCCTCACTGGCTTTGAGAATTGTAATTTCAGTACATTCCAAGTATCTTGTCTTATATAAATCATTACATTCAAGAAAAGCATAATGATTCAGAGCAGAGCTTTTAAAATGCAAATAACTGGAAACAACAAAAGTTAAAACATACTTTATGCCACTGCCATGCTTTGAAAAGATAAATGCCAGCCTGTTTACTACTATAAATAATAAACCTTGTTCACTTTACAAAGATCTTGCGGGGATTGGTCACTTTGTATCTCATATAAGCTTGAATATATGAAGTGCTGTGACCCAATTCCACATATGCTTTCCTTTCTGAGATTAATCTTCCTAAAATGAATGTGGCAGCTCACAGTGTAAACTGCTTGCTTACCATGTTGCATGTATAATGTCTTATGCTTCAAAACAAAAGGGACTGCTGGTCTCTAGTATGGTCTCCTGGTATCTTAGAATCATAGAATAATTTAGTTTGGAAAAGATCTTTCATTAACGGCAAAATCTTAACATTTTGAGTTTCTAGTTATTGTGGACTAACAAGACAAAAAAAACTGAATAGTATAATATTATCAGTGTTTATCTTAGTAATATAACTCCATTTTCCAGAGGGAGGGGAGATAAGGAAAATCCAATACTGAT